TATATTCTCTTAGCACTACTTCAACATGCAGTCCTGTCATACGGGACATCTGACCGGATGTCAAAGAATCAAAAATGTCCCACAGGGCAGGGCAAAGAACTGGCTTGCCAGTGAGAGAACATCACATGGATCACAAATGCTTAAACTACTTTATAACTAATACACACAAATGTTACCCTGCAAGTTCCTCACGATTGAGCATGCCATTATGATCCTTATCCAAATTTAAATATTGTCCATAAACTCTCAGAGCAGACGGAGCAGAAAACCAATTTGAATCTTGAGCATCTTTTGGTAAATCCACATCCCTCAACTGAAATGTTAAACATACAAATACATAGGTAAAACATTAGAAAAAAATTATGCAACAATACCCTTAACAAAATTTCATATTAATGAATTTAAAATCATTTCTCTATAAATTCTTGTTCATCTTGAAGCACAAGCTATTTAATCACTATACACTTTACATATGAGTTCACACAGAGGTGAAACAAGAAGTTCTAACATTACTCTAAGAAACATACCTCAAGTAAATCATCCAAAAAGCTGCAGGCAAGTATATCTTGAATTCTTACTCTCCCTGTGCGTAATGGATCCAAGAAAAATAGAAATTTACGCACAGCTGTACACACATAAAAACTGTGAAATGATTTCTCTAATCCATCTAGTTGTGGTAATGTGGGAATTAACTCCAATATGTAATTTTCCAAGTCCTATTAATATTAGATATTACTATTTGTCATTTACATTGGTTCTATTCCATTTTGAAAAAATAGTGCAGTGCAACTTACTAACCACTTCCCGAAGGTAACCCTGACCTATTACATCATACATTGACAATCCAATACGAGTTTGATGATACCATACTTTACGCATGATGTAATTAAATAAAGCCATGATGTTTATTCGTCCATGAGGGTCTCCATTTTGTAACTTAGCAAAAACTTCAGGAGTAAAATATTTCCTGAAACAAATGTCTGAATGTAGTAAGTTTTGGTAACAATCATCTCATAATGATTTTCTTAAATACACTAGTTTCCATTTTTTGGTTAACAATAGAGCTATTCTTATTACAGAAAACTCAGGAAAAAAAAAACAACATAAGAACTGCACCATACCTCAAGGACAGCCAAAGAATTTACAAATCATAAAAAAGAAATCAAGTAAGCTTGAGGTCTTAATCCACAATAAAACAAGGAAACTGCTTGTCTTATTGACTATCATGAGCATTGAGAACCATAATTTATGTAGTAACTGAATCTGCAATTTTTAGACATTATTCAAAATCAATGTTTGTGGAACCAATGAATACGGAACATTGTGAAAATTACTCTAAAAACAGAAACAATAAGGACATTAAACTTCACTACAAAAATAATATTCCGCAGGACACACAAACGAAGCAGCAAAACTTATTTCAATAACCATTTATCACAAATTGGAGAAATATTAATTCATCACAACTCTAAGTATTATAAATTATTGTTATTGTTGTTGTTATAATAGCTATTGTTATTATTATTAATAATACTATTACTATTATTACTACTACT